GAAAAAAAGAAATTCGGCTTGTTGTTGTTTATTTACAAAGTGATTTCTATAGTCTTTTCTCACCTACAAAGTTTTTGAGGGAAGCTTTGGTTTTGGATTACCTATGAAAACTCATTCATCTTTGTATGTGTTCAGTGGCCTGTTTCAAATAAATCTTTTTACAGTCCTACTCCTAATATCAAATATCAGGATGATTTCAAAAACTCTGTCTCTAACTTTAGCATTACATCCCTAAAACCAGTATGTTCTGTGGCAAATAAGATTCTACTCACCAGCTTATGTGGAAATGCTTTGAGAGTGTGTTGACGATGCCCATGGTAGGTACTGAAACATCACTGTCCAAAATGCACATTTACATCAAATAGCTGTTGTTATCATAGAGGATCCAGGGTGAGGGATAAAACAGTCAGGGAACCTCTGCAGGGAGTAGAAATGGCTTATGTCAGGGGAAGGGCAGTTGACTCCAGGCTACTACCCTGGGAGCCAGGCCCAGTCTTCACAAGAAGAAACCTTTGTGACAAGCTGATCAGCAGGCCAGGTTCCAGAATTAGGTAAGAGAGCATGCAGAGAAGGTCAAAAGGAGGGTCCTATAATGTGGGAAACAGCTGGGACTGAACAAAACTGCTGACCCCTGGACAGTCAGCTCTAAAGAAACCTAGGGCTTATGACAAGAGGAATTTAAGTAAAAAAATGCCACAACAATTCCTGAATTATATTTCATTTTCATTGTCACCTTCCTTCTTTAGGCTGAACCTAATATCTTAGCCATGTGGTTATCTTTAGGTCACCTCAAAGATATTAAGAAGAGTGAAGAGAACTGACATAACAGGCAGAAGGCCTCCCTCAGGCTGGGGAGCAGTGGGAACAGTGTGGGCCTAGATGAATTCATACCAGGGTTCAAGTACCGGCCCTGTCACATTCTAGCCACGTGATCTTGGGGAAATTATCAAACACTGTGAGCCTCAGGTTTCTCTATGTAAAATAGGTTTGGTAAGTCCTGTCTTGTACAATTGCTGGAAGATATATAATGTGAGTAAAGCATGTGGCACAGTGTCTGACATACATTGGAACTTAATGAATGGCAGTTGTAATCAAATATGATTATAACCCCAGAGGCTACTACTACCTTTTTAAAAAAATTCAGCGCTTATTTTAATGATTAAAAAATCTGGGAAAATATGTAGCTGAATACATCACAGAATAAGTACTCAATCAATAATTCAGCTTCCTAAATAAAACTCAGTACCTTGTCTTTCTGAAAGGATATATTGTATACTTTGGATAAGGTAAGACTTTTGTAGCTGGAATGCAACTGAAAGATCATAGATTTTGAGTGAAGGACAAACTCCTTTTCACCTTCCCCATTGCTCATCCATCCAAACCACTATTTCTATTTATGCTTCACTAAAAACCTAGCCCTTGTTTACAGTTCCCCATGTTACATTCAAAATAACCCAATTAAAAGTCCCGTCAATGGAATGGGCTCTGGCTCTCCCTGGCCAGGCAAATTCGTTTCAGCCTAGAGGCTTCTGGGCACCACTTCAAGGAATTATTACCTTATTTCTCAGGAAACCCTTGCAGATGATGGGTATCAATCACTTAGTCCTTGCACTGTGTTCAAGTGCACCAGCACAAGAGCTGCAAGACACCTTCTGTTACTTCCCCATGTGGAGACTCCTCTCTGCCTCATCCTTCACCCAGAGGGAACTGCTCAGAGCAATTTTCCATTCCAGGCTTTTGTCTCACCTACAGAGAGTCTGAGCCCTGCCACCACCCAGATTCATAGCAATCAGCTCCCACAGAAGCACCTGCAGTTTCCTGAAGCCCCAAACTGCCTTAGTTTAAGGCCTTCATACTTGAAGGCTCCAACTGGAGTCTCACCTCCCCACTCTTTTAACTCATTCTTTAGATTGTAGAGAAAAATCTTTTTTTTTTCCCATTTATTTATTTTATTGCATTTTAGGTTTTGGGGTACATGTGAAGAACATGCAAGATTGTTGCATACGTACACACGTGGCAGTGTGATTTGCTGCCTTCCTCCCCATCACCTACATCTGGCATCTCTCCCCTTGCCATCTCTCCCCAGCTCCCCACCCCCCTCTGTCCCTCCCCTATTTCCCCCCAACTGACCCCAGTGTGTAGTGCTCCCCGCCCTGTGTCCATGTGTTCTCATTGTTCAACACCCGCCTATGAGTGAGAACATGCGATGCTTGATCTTCTGCTCTTCTGTCAGTTTGCTGAAGAGAAAATCTTACCCTTCCTGATATGGTTTCTGCACCTAGACTTTACCACGTTATGGGTAGGAATAAACCTTCTTTTGTTAATATCTCCACTATTAACAGTGCCTTCCATAAGCAAATGCTGAAATAATGTTCAGCAAGTAAAGGAGTTGGCGATGCTTTTATTTATTAAGATTTAAATTATGTTAATTCTTTAATAAGCCAAACAAATCCAAATATATATCTTTAATTTTCAAGAACAACAGAATAAAGGGGATGAGGAAAGTCAAAAATTAACAATCCCTTACTTTGTTCCACTATTTAAATGATGAGTCCTTTCACATTTTAAAGGAAATTCCAATCCCAACACATTACACCGTTTCAGATCATGAGAGAGAAGGGTTTCATTTTTTCCTTACCAATTATCAAATTCTTACTCTTAAACCAGATAAACAGCAGTACATGTGTAATGAATATTCATAAACTAAGATTCTGAAGTGAATTAAGCCAATCAAAAGGAGAAGCATTTGAAAAAATCCCCCCTACCCCATCCAAAAATGTTAAACTCTAAGTCACTCATATGAAACAGGAACACAAAGAACACTGTGGTCCCTCCGGCTCCACTCTGGCCCTCCACTGCATAGAGCCTCGACTGCCCTCTTCAATCACAGAGGGGAGTCTGCCTCAGACTTCACTCAGGACAGAAGTTGGAGGACATGACACAGGAGCTTGCACTGGGATGGCAATAGCATCATCTGTGGTGTCAATTATGGCCTGGGCTAGGTCTTCCACATCTTTCAAAGCATCCATGTACCAGGATGGAAAGGAACTAGGGATGGTACTGGATAGCTTGCCCAAAAACTCTAGGACTTAACAAGAGAGCACAAAGGGAAGATGAAAAGGAGGGGGGCTGTAATGTGAAAAATGCTAGGGATGGACAAATCTGCCAGCACCTGGACAGCCAGCTCTCAAGAAACCTAGGGCTCAGAACAAGAGGACTTTAGGTAATGAAAGCCAATGATATTCCCTGAATTGTACTTTATTCCCATTTTTATCTTCCATCTTTAGGCCTAACTTAATATCTTAGCCACATGGTTCAACTTTATTTCACCTGAGAGACAGTAAGAAGTGTGAAAAGGGCCTGGCGTGTGGCTCACGCCCGTAATGCCAGCACTTTGAGAGGCTGAGGCGGGTGGATCACGAGGTCAAGAGATTGAGACCATCCTGGCCAACATGGTGAAACCCCATCTCTACTAAAAAAAAAAAAAAAAAAAAACATTAGCTGGGTGTGGTGGTGCGCACCTGTAGTCCCAACTATTTGGTAGGCTGAGGCAGGAGCATTACTTGAACCCGGGAGGCGGAGATTGCAGTGAGCCGAGCTCAGGCCACTGCACTCCAGCCTGGCAACTTGAGACAAAGGGAGATTCTGTCTCAAGAAAAAAAGATGTGTGAAAAGAAGTAACAGGCAAAGGCCTTCCTCAAGCTAGGTGGGGACAGTGTGGGCCTAAACGAATTCAGATCAGGGCTCAAGTCGCAACCTTGTCACAGTCTAGCCACATAATCTTGGGAATTTATCACGCGTTATGAGCTTTGGGTTCTTCATCCGTAAAATGGGTTTGAAAAGCCCTGTCTTGTAGAATTGTTGGAATGCATGTAATATGAGTAAAATACCTGCCACAGTGCCTGGAATTTTAATAAATCGCAGTTGTTATCAATGATTATAACACCAAACCTTACCACTGTCTTTTGGGCAAAATGCAGCTCTTAGTTTTGTTATCCAAAACATCTCAGAGAATATGTAGGTGAATGCGTCATGGAAACCCAACTTAACCAAAACTTTGATTTCATAAATAAAACTCAGTACATTTTTTTCTGAAAGGGTATATTGTATAATTTGGAAAAGGGAAGGCATCTTCAGCTGGAATGCAACTCAAAGATGCTAGAATTTGAGTCAAAGACCAACTCCTTTACACCTTCCCCATTGCTCATCCATCCAAACCACTATTTTTATTTATCCTTCGCTAAAAATCTAGTCCTTGCTTACAGGTTGCTCACATTACATTCAAAATACCCTAATTAAATGTCTTTCAATGGAGTGGGCGCTGGCTCTCCCAGTCCAGGCAAATAAGTGCCAGCCTAGGGGCTTCTGAGCAACACTTCAAGGGATTATCACCCTATTTCTCAGGAAATCCTTGCAGATGATGGGTATCAATCACCTACTTCTTGCACTGTGTTCAAGCTCACCAGTTAGACAGCTGCAGGACACCTCCCATTACTTCCCCATGTGGTGACTCCTCTCTGCCTCATCCTTCACCCAGAGGGAACTGCTCAAGTAGTTTTCCATTCCAGGCTTTTCTCTCACATTCTAAGAGTCTGGCCCCTGCCACCACCCAGCTTCATGACAATCAGCTCCCACAGAAGCAACTGCAGTTTCCCAAAGCTCAAAACTGCCTTAACTCATTTGAAGGTTCATATCTGGTGTCCCACTTCCCCAGTATTTTTAAGATGTTCTTTAGATTATAGAGAATATCTTACCACCTTCCTGACATGGCTTCTCTCCTAGACTCTACCATTTTATAGGTAGAGATAAGTCTTGCTTTTCATAGTATCCCCACTACTAAGAGCACCCTCCACAAGTAAATGCTCAAAGAATGTTTAGCAAATAGTCACTGAGGCTTTTATTTATTAAGATTGAATTTCTGCTACTTTCTTGAGTAAGCCAAGCAAATCCAGGTATGTATCTTTAATTTGGAAGAGCAACAGAGTAACAGGATAAGGACATGCAAATATATCAACCATACTTTATTTTGTTCCACCATTTAACTGCAGAGTTATTTCACATTTTAAAGAAAATTCTTACCGAACATCACAACATACTGTTTCAGTTCACAGAATTAAGACAGGTTTTCCCTTCTTTTCTTATGAAATATCACTCTCTCTTAAACCAGATAAACAACAACACAAGTGTAAATAATATTCATAAACTAAGATTGCAACTCAAAGATGCCAGAATTTGAGTCAAAGACCAACTCCTTTATTGGAGGGAGAAGCATTTGTAAAATACACTCCCCCCCCACACACACACACAAACTTTTAAACTCTAAGTCACTCATACAAAACAAGAACACAAAGAACACTCTGGTCCCTCTGGCTCCACTCTGGCCCTCCACTGCCTAGAACCTCGACTGCCCTCTTCAAACACAGGGAATACTGTGCCTCATACTTCACTCAGGACAGAAGTTGGAGGACATGACACTGGGGCTTGCACCGGCCACGGCAGTAGTATCATCTGTGGTGTCAATTATGGCTTGGGCTCTGTCTTCCACATCTTTCAAAGCATCCATGTACCAGGATGGAAAGGAACTAGGGATGGTAGTGGATAACTTGGACAAAAACTCTAGGACTTTTCTCTTGCTGGCTTCTGAATGGGCTCTTGGACCCCACAGGAATTCATAATGTGGAGGAGCACTGTTCGGCACCTCCCGGTACTCCAGGTACTTTCTCTGCACCCAATCTTTAGTGAGGAGCTCTCTCGGCTCCCCATATATAAAGTGCTCCCTCCCAGGATACACCCCTATTGCACTCAACACTTCCCAGATGACCTCCTCAGGGACACAGCTGCCCTTTATGAAGATCATACTGAGAATAAGAATCAGGAGACAGTTCTGGGGCATACCCAGGTCATCAATCAGGCTTCCCTCACAGGTGAGGTCTAATGTGTCTTCAAAGAAATAGCAGTGGTTGTCAGGGTCCACATCAGTCAGGGAAATCCCAAAAATTAGCTCTATGAACTCATGGGCTTTCCCAAAGATCATAGGAAAATAGTCCTTATACTTCTTGGTGACAGTAGTCAACATCTCTGCCTTTGTGACAGGCTCCTTTTTTTGGTATTTGAGGAGAAAAAATTGCACCAACTCAGCCACCTTTTCATCCAGCACATACCTGCTCAAGGACTGACTATCTGGGAAAGCCTGCCATACAGGTGTTTCCTCCTCTTCTTCACTGCTAGACTCCTCCTCCAATGGGGTCCACAAGAAAGGGGAGGAGCAGGAGTTCAGAGAACTCTGGGGAGGATTCTGCAGATGACTCTGGGGAGGACTCTGTGGAACACCCTGGGGAATCTCAGGAGGACACTGGGGAGGAATCTTGGGAGGACTCTGGGGAAGAGGTGGTATCCCAGCAAGAGGCATCTCCTCATCTTCTGAAGCACTCAGAAATAGAGTACAGAGTGAAGATGAGGACGAGGAAGAAGAGGAGGGTAATAAAAAGTGGAAAGAGGAAGTGGAGGAGGCATCCTCCTCTTCCTCATCTATGGAATCCTGTGCATCTACCAAGTCCTCTATCACAGTCGGGTTCTGGAAGTCTTGCTCAAAGCTGAGATGTGAAAGGTTTGGAAAAAGAGGCATGAGGCCTGTTGTTCAGGAGCAGCAGGTAAACGTGTGAGCAGGAATGGAGATGATGGGATCCCACAGGCCTGAGGGAGAGAATGACAGTGTGAGTGGCCTCGGCTGAGAAAGGCACACATAATTGATCTGACAAAGGCATTCTTACATCTCTCCTTCTCTTAAAGTGGTCCTCTAGGGCCTCACAGATCTCCTGTCTTCCTAGGGGGTTTGTTCCCTGGGAACCTGTAAGAGGATATGAGGAAGCACCTCGGGGCACAGCTGGTAGGCAGAACCCCAGGCTTTGGGACTTACAGTAGGTGGTTAGGACTGGGTGCTGCCGGGTCTGCTCTGTTTGTGGGGGTAGGGCCCTTGGTACACCGTCAGGGTGTGCACTCACCTTGACTCCTGGCACTGCCTGGGCCTCCTCTGCTGTGCTGGCTTTAGGAAGTGCAACTCAGACCCAGCTCTTCACCACGTGGTTCCTGGAGCACCTGCAAGAGGAAGTGAAGGAGCACCTCAGGCTAAAGACTGCAAGCAGAGGCTTGGGCCTCCCGGGGCTGACAGCCGGGGCTGGCCAGACTCCCGGAGCCCCACAGTTACAGGGTTCATAGCCCCCTAGAATTTAATTAGCATTGTCAGGTTTTCTCAGATCGGGTCACGTCCCTACCATTCTGCTGGCCTGAGGCAAAACCTCAGCACAACCTCCACATCCCTGAGAGCAGAGGGAGGTAGGGAGGTGGCAGCCACGTCCCATACTCTACCACGGGGGCAGTCGGGGCAGCCTCACATCTGCTCTGAAGCACATGTGACACCTCAGTCCTCACTCTTATCCCCAGCAGGGCCTGGGAATCTTCCCTCTGCCAACCGGAGGCAGCTGCCTCTGCTGACTTGCCGTGGGACCCTCAGACCAAGGCCTCCCCCTCCCCTACACCCCTCACTCAGAAATGAGGGGGCTGCGGCTCAGCCTGAGCCAACTGGGGAGCTCTACGATGGCTAATATGAGGAGCAGGGTGGGATTCTGTTCTCAGAGGTGGGGGTTCCCTCAGTCCTTCTCAAAGTCTTCCTGTTTATTCCCTACAGAGCCAGCACCCCCTCCCTCCTTCTGTCGTGGGGACGGGTCCGTCAGACTTTGCCGGCCATTTTCCTGTCTGGGACCTACAAGTCCCGCGACAAGGGCAGGGCGGGCCGGAGCTGCTTCTCTCTATGGTGGGTGGTCCCTCAGTTCTCTCTCAGGCTCTCACCTTGAGGACTGCCCAGTTCTGACTTCCCTCCGGTGACCTGAGTCCAGACTTTTCACAAAACGCCGCAGGTCCTATGGACTCCCAAGATGGAAGCCAGGAAAGCACATCCGGGAACCCTGAGGGGGTTGACCAGCGCCGCTCGCAGGGGCGGCGTGGGGCGAGGCCTCCTCTCTGCGGAGGAACCACGCCCCACCTCTCTGCCTCCTTCCAGCTTTTCCTGACCACTTCCCCCCACTCCTGCTCCACTTCTTCCTGCCCTCCTCAGCGCCCCCTCTCACTCCTTTAAGCCCACTTCCCTAACCCCCTCCAACCCTTTTCCATCCACCTCCCAGTCCTCTTTCACCGCTTCCTCCCTCTTTCCTTCCCCCTTTCATCCCTTCCCGCCCTCCTCCCTGTCTTCTCCCACCCCATTCTGTCCTCCCTGACCCCTCTCTGCCCTTAATGCCCACTTCCCCGCCCCTTCCTACCCTTTCCTGTTCACCTTCCATCCCCTTTCACTTTTTATTGCCCACCTTCCCATTCCCTCCCACCCTTTCCTATACACCTCCCAACTTACTCCGACCTCTTCATGCTCACGAACCTGCCCTCTTCCACCCCTTTCTGCCTACCTCCCCACTCCCTCCCACCTATTTCTGTTAACTTCCTCACCCTTCACCCACTTCTCCCTGCCCACGGTTCCGTTTTTACCTCTCCAAGTCTTCTGTTTATGGGTATCAGCAGGGAGTGGCTGGGCGACGCCTGAGCCTCCCCTTCATGTTGGGAGGTCACTGTCCTTCCACAGAGTTCTCTTGTTAGTTGACCAGTTCCGGGGCTCCTCTCTCTGCATAACTGAAACTGCTCCCCTCAGAGAAATCTTCCTCTCCGGCTGACTCCCAAAATGGAAGTCAGAAAGCTGTACATCTGGGGACTCTGATGGGCTCCTCGACAGCTGGCAGCAGTCACAGGGACAGGGGAGGGCCACTACCAGCCTTGGGTGTTCCCTTCCAGCCTTCCTGGGGGGCTGTGCCTGGACTCTGGAAACTGCCTGGACTCACTGCCTCTGTGCATCTGAGTCTTTCACCTCCGAATAAGCCCCTCCCATCCCTGAGACCTGCGAGTGGAAGAGAGAGAGAATCACATCCATCCACAGTGGGATAGGGCCTCCCAGACTCCAGGCAGGACTCTGGTGTCCCGGGTCTGAAATGAGGTGGGAAGGCCCCTTAATCTTCCTCAAGGTTTTACTCCTTACAGGGCCTGCATTCCCCACTTCTCCTGTCCAGACAGCAACAGTGGTTCTGTCATCCTCTAAAATCCATTCCAAAACCTTCCACTTTAAGTACTGCTGTGTGTGAAATTAATATAATCTCTCGCCTAACCTATGTCAACAGCTTCCTTAGTTTTGCTTTTTTTCTTTTCCTTGTCCCAGAAAAATCCATTGTCTGTGAGTGATCCTTTTAAAAACCAATACATTATTAATTTTTTAAAATACACTCATCAGATTTAACTATTATGTGAAATTATATGTATTTTGGCAAATGCATGGAGTCCCATATCTACCAATCAAGTATTATACCAACCACTTCTATCACCCTAAAAGTCCCCTGTACATCTCTTTTGAGGTCAATCAAGGCACTTCTCCAAAGATTCTAGCAACTATACTGTTTTTAGTTCACATTATTTTAACTTTCACAATTTGTCATATGAGTAGGTTCACAAAATATGGATTTAAAAGTGTGGCTGTACCATTTTTCAGTTCAACTATCAAGGAATGAGAATTCCTCTTGTTCCATATCCTCTCTTACATTTAGTATTTTATATTTTCAGATGTTAGCCATTCTAATAAGCCTGTACATTTGAATCTCATTTGGTTTTTGTTTGCATCTTCCTAATGACAGATGACGTTGGTCATCTTTTTATATGCCTTTTGCTGATTGGTTTATTCTTTTCAGTAAAGTGTCTGATCAAATCATTTGCATCTTTTTAAAAATTAATAGACATCATTTTTAGAGCATTGCTAATCCCAAAATACAAAGAGAAAACTTCATCAAAGTTATAGAGTTCCCACATATATATGCCTCCCCCAATTCCTGCCCTGCCTTATGCACACACACACAGTGTCTCCTACTATTTACATTTTGTATTACTATGGCATGTTTGCAACAACTGATGGGCCTGTATTTATACCTCACTATTAGGTAAAGTCCACAGTTTACATCAGAACTCACTCAACGTTGGGGATGCTACAGGTTTTGATAAGTGTGTAATGGTGAGCATTCATCATTACAGTATCACACAGAATTGTTTCACCATCCTAAATCTCCTGTGTGCTTCACCTATCAATTCCCTTTGCCTCAAACCTAACCCTTCAGCCTCTGGAAACCACTGACATTTTTAGTGTATTCATAGTTACCTGTTCCAGAATATTCTATGATTGGAATCATACATAATGTAGCCTTTGAAGATTTTATTCTTTCACTTAGCCTTATGCTTTTATGATTCCTCCAGGTCTATCCTACTAACGATGACTGAAAGTTCCTGCTGCTCAACATATGGGTCAATATTTGATGTTTCGCTGTTTTGAATGTCAGCCATTCTCCAGGGTGTATAGTGCTATCTCCTAATTGTTTTAATTTGCAATTCTCAAATGACATATGACGTTGAACAGTTTTATATGCTTATTTTAAATTCCTATATATTCATTGGTTGTGTATCTGTTTATAGTTTTTATCCACTTTAAATTGGGTTGTCTTCGTATGGTTGGATTTTCAGAGTTTTGAACATATTTAAATGTATATCTTTTATTAGATATGTTTCACAAAACATTTATTCCAGTCTGGATTGCCTTTTCATGATCTTAACAGTGACTTTTCAGAGTTGAAGTTTTTAGTTTTAATGAAGTTCAATTTATCTCTTTTTTCTTAGATAGCTGGCACTTTCAGTGTTGCATCTGAAAAAGTCATCATCAAAACTACAGTTACCTAGGGTTTGCACTCATAAGTTTAACCACATTTTAGTATTGCATCTAAGAGCCATCACCAAACCCAAAGTCACCTAGGGTTTGTCCCCATAAGCTTGACCAACATTTAAAACTCTGATAAAATATGTTTCTAAATAAATGAATCATTTCCCTATAGACAAATATGGGAAATAATAATTATTATTATTAAATAATAATTTCTTCTGTTAATGTGAGATAATTAATTGGTGAAATATTTTAGGAAAAAAAGTCAGTAACATTTTAAAAATATAAAATATTCATACTGACTCAGTTTCCTCATTAAAATGCTTTCCTTATAAGTAATTATAAGCACTTGTCCAAGAATTTATGCTCAGAGATGTTGATTGTATTTATATTAATTATAGCCACAAAAGATAAACAAATATTTGTTCATCAAGAGGAGATTTGTTCAATTCATTATTGCACAGAAATAAATTGGAATTCCGGGAAATAGTCCCAAAAGTAAGAGAGATCTATTAACATTTGTGCTGTCATGGAAAGCTCTTGATTCCATTTCAATAAATGATTATATTGACATGTTAGGGGTGCCATAGCAATGTATCACAACCTGGATGACATAAACAACAAAAATATGTTGTCTCACAGTTGTGGAGTCTGGTAGTCAAAAAGCAAGGTGTACAGAAGGTTGATTCCTTCGGAGGGCTGTGATTAAAAGATGCATTTCAGGCCTCTCTCCTTGCTTTTTAAATGGCTGTCTTCATGTATACTCACATTCTCATCCTTCTATTCATATCTCTATGTCCAAATTCTCCCCTTTTAAAATGACTCCCATCATGTTCGATTAGGGCCAGCATTAATAACCTCATTTTAACTTGATTGCCTCTGAAATAATCCTATCTCCAAACAAGACAACGTTTTAATTTCAAGGTAGAATTTTAGGAGAATGTAATTGAACTTATGATAGTGGCAAAGGCAAGTGGCATATTTATATGTATATTTTACTCACATTTAGTTATATTTATACACACACATATATAAATTATATTTATATATGCTTGTGGGTGTATATATATATATATATATATACACACACATATACACACACATATATATTACTACATCTATCTTTTAAAAACTTGAAATTAGCTTTTAAAATTTATATACCACATTGTGGAAAGTTCTGAGTAGAGGTCAATATGTTGAAGGAACTTTGCAAGGGGAGAATTGTGATTTCTATGTATTTTCATCATCTTTTGCAACAATAATTATGCAGTATTTATTTGAAGGAAAAGCATTAAAATAAGCCTTATAAAAGGAAGAGGAGCAGTGTAGTAGTCAGATAAAGTAGCAGTGAGCTAATGGAATTTTAAAAATTCCTGAAATTTAAATGGTTTAACACAACAAGTTTATTTTTGTGCATATAAATTCTGATTTTAGTTGGCAGGGTATTATGGGCTGAATTATACCCCTTCCTCCAGATACATACATACAAAGTCACTGTATTTGGAGATAGAGTCTTTGAAGATGTAATTAAGGGAAAATTAAGTTTTATGGTTAGCATCTTATTCAATATGATTGGCGTCTTCACAGGAAGAGGCGCTTAGGATACAGACACACAGAACAAGGGACAAACGTAAGAATTCAGTGAGAAGGTGGCCATTTGCAAGCCAAAGAGAGCCCACAGAAGAATTCAAACCAGCCAAAATCTTGATCTTGGATTTTTTTAGTCTCCAGAAATGTGAGTAATACATTTCTACTGTTTAATCACACAGTCTATAGTATTTTGTTATGGAATAATAAACTAATCTACAGTGGGTCATGGCTCTCACATCACCCAGGGATCCAAACTGCTTTCACCTTGTACTTCCACATCACAACAGATGTTAACTGCTAAACAGAAATGAAAACATTGGAATGATTCACTGGCTTCTATCTAACTACAAATGAACCAACCACAAAAACAAGATATA